TCCCAACACTTTGGGAGGCTGAGATGGGCGGATCACTTGAGGTTAGGAGTTCGGGACCAGCCTGGCCAAATGGTGAAATCCCGTCTCTACTAAAAATACAAAAGTTAGCCGGGTGTGGTGGTACACACCTGTAATCCCAGCTACTCAGGAGGCTGAGGCACGAGAATTGTTTGAACCCGGGAGGTGGAGGTTGCAATGCGCCAAGATCACACATCACACTCCAGCCTGGGTGAGAGCATGAGACTCAGTCTCAAAAAATAAATAAATAAACAAACAGCACACTGTCAGAAGATTCTTACGGTACGCTCTGAGAATAAAAAGCAGAAGAAAACCACTAAAGGAAATGAACATTCTTATGTGTACTTATTATACCTACTACTTAACCAGCCCTATGCCTGGTGCTTTACAGAGCCTAACTCATTTACTCTTTGCCACAACTGAGAGGTGGGCATCACTGGCCCTATTATATTAGCCAGATGAGAAACAAGCCTCCAAGTGTGGGTTAGCGAATCTGCCCCTTAACAAAGTAATTATAGCCTGTGCAGGCTGTTTCCTTTCAAAATCCATGTCCGTGCCTCCATATGCTTGGGCACCATATACCTGAGGGCAAGGCACAACAAAATTCTCCTTCATCCAGGAAATGACCAAAAGACACTGACACCTCCAGGACCCTGGGTATTAAGTCAGCCACCTTCTAGCCCACAGCAGATCTGCCTTCTGCTTGGCCTCCATCTAATCTCCAGTCTACACTGGGCCTGGGAGGAGCTCCCTTTTTCTAGCAGTATGTGTTCATAAGACTGCATACAAATGCAGAGCTTTATAATCAAAGCACATTTTAAATATACTATAAATATTCTGATATTACGGAATACTGTATAGAGCCCCCAAGACACTGATGCTCATGGTACACTGCACTGAAGAACTGCTGTGCAGGTCAGAGGCAGGAGCTGTGAGCTTCTTAATAACTATAATTAGGATGTGCTAGAGTCTTCTTTCTTTTTAACTTTTTTCTTGAAGATCTGAAGACCATCTAGGTAACTTTAAGGTACGCTTTCCCACTGCAGAGAACAGAAAGATTTTTAAATGATTACCATAAGAAACTCCTCCATAATGCAAGCCACCCTTTCCATGCAATCACATGCACAAAATTCTATTTCTATGTGTATGGAATCTGTATAAAGTTCTCCTGTTGGTCATTACAAAGATTTTTTTTTTTTTTTTTTTTGACAAGAGTTTTGCTCTTGTCACCTAGGCTGGAGTGCAATGACATAATCTCAGCTCACTGTAACCTCCACCTCAAAGGTTCAAGAGATTCTCCTGCCTCAGCCTCCCGAGCAGCTGGGATTACAGGTGCCCACCACACACATGGCTAATTTTTGTGTTTTTACTAGAGATAGGGTTTCGCTATGTTGGCCAGGCTGGTCTCAAACTCCTGACCTCAGATGATCTGCTCACCTCGGCCTCCCAAAGTGCTGGGATTAAAGGCATGAGCCACCATGCCAGTCCAGTCATTGCTAAGATTTTGATGATGAACTTACAGCAAAGCACCATGGCATTAACACACAGGTATATTTTCTCTATCCATACATTCTAAATTATATTGCTTTCATTAGGTTAACAAAATTAAAACCTGAAAGAACTCTTAACATCCTCTAAATTAGTTCAATTTAGAGATCTCAACAGCACACTCGATAGGTCAGGAAGCTGTAACAGATGAAAAGAAACAGGCAGGTGCATCAAAGGACACAATCCACAGAGTGGACAGGCAACCTCCAGATTCAGAGAAAATACATGCAAATCATATCGCTAAGGTGTCAATATCAGAATACATAAAAAACTGTACTTCAACAAACAATAATTTGATTTTAAAAATAGCACAATGCCAGGCACGGTGGCTCACACTTGTAATCCCAGCACTTTGGAAGGCTGAGGCAGGCAGACCACCTGAGGTTGGGAGTTCAAGACCAGCCTGAACAACATGGAGAAACCCCGACTCTAAAAAAAATACAAAATTAGACAGGCGTGGTGGCGCATGCCTGTAATCCCAGTTATTTGGGAGGCTGAGGCAGGAGAATCACTTGAACCTGGGAGACAGAGGTTGCGTTGAGCTGGGATTGTGCACTCCAGCCCAGGCAACAGGAGTGAAAACTCAGTCTCAAAAGAAAAAAATAAA